AAAAAGGGCATACCGAGAGAATTTATTGACATTGCAACCAATACAGATACAATCGCCACAGAAACCAGAGAGACTCAAGAAAAGTTATACAATGATGCAAATCAGCAATTAAATATGACATTTGAAGCGTTTAAGGTAAAGGAAAACCAAGACAATATGTTTAAAATAATGCTTAAAAACTTTTGGCACAACACATATAAAAGAAATGAGCCAACAAGAACACAGGTAACACAAACATTGAAAAACCAACGCGACACAATGGTGTCAGCCTTTACTAAAATGCTCGACAACAACAAACCACCAGAACCACCGCCAAAGAAACCACCAGACGAGGAGGACAGCGATGAAGAAGAAAAAAGATTCAAACTGACAAAAATGATAGAAATAATGCTACACAACGGCGCTACAGTAGCAGATATAATATTAAACTTATCACATAGCGCAATTGCAACAACAATAAATATCGCAGATTTAGTCAATCAAATAACAGCAGGAAATGCACAAGGTAGCAGTAGTTCTTCTAATGAAATTGTTAGTGTTCATAGTTCTCCACCTATTACTGTTCATAGTTCTTCATCTGAAAGTCCAACAGAAATACCAGCACCAACTGAAGACGAAGAAGAAGACGAAGAAGAAAAACAAAAAGATAATTTTGAAAAATTAAAATCTAAATAATATTATATATAATGGGTATTGGTCAAAGTAAAGACGATGAAAATAACAGTATGGAAGACATTAAGAATTTAAGAGTAGATGAAAAGACAAGAGCAGATACTTTAATAATAAAATCTATTCAAGAATGTGTGGCACGAATTGAGAAATTAGAAAAAGAAAAATCTGACAAATTAATATATAAACTTCCTGCTTTACAATTTTGCAATGCTTCGTTAATTTAAATTGATAATATTAACATACATTAATATTATTAATTACTATCATAATCTGTCATTTCACTTTCGGGTAATTTTGTTGAGGCGTTGCTACACATATCATCTATTAAATCTTCTTCATCAACAAAATTATTTTGAAATCTTAATAATTCCTCGTCTGTTGGTCGTCTTTTTCAACACTTTATAAAGTTTATGTATCCAAGAATTAGTATGAAAATTATAATTACCTCTACGATAAAATCCACCACATCTACATAGTTTCATTAGCATATTATTATATTATATTAAATTAGAATATCTTTATTCATCATTTGTAATTTGAAATGCCTGTTCAAAATTGATATGAAACATGTTGTTAATGTCTTTTGAATTCATATTCACGTAGAAAAAAGAATATGGAGCAAAATTAACGGCTTGATGATACATATCTAATAATTGCTGTTTGTCAACAATGGCGCTATTTTCTTCAATAAAACTCATTAATTCACTGGCATTTTTCAACCTAAAAATATATAATGAACTGGCATTTAAACGAATGATAGGCGCCAACACATTATATTTCTGTGTTGAACAAATTACGCTTACTGCATCGTGCCTACCTCTTGTAAATAATCCATGTAATAATTTACTATATCTAACAAATTTAGGATCGTCGGCGTGATCGTCTATAACGATTAATATTGAATGTAGTTTCTTTATCTTTTTAGATTTCATATAATTAATTATTTTCTTCTGTCTTTCAATTACATTTTCTAAATCACTTGGATTATAATTATCAAAATAAATTTGTTCTTTTTCATCATCCACGTGCAATTCATCCCTGATATATTTTTTAACTTCTGTAAAGGTTGGGTCATTATGAACGCTGGGGGAAAATATAAATATTCTTGCAAATGAATTTCTATAAACATTTAAGATAAGGTTCTGAACCAATACTGTTTTGCCACCTGTCGAAGAAGCAACTATAATACTTCTAAATGGTAATTTTGGCACGTGCTCATATTTAGATTGTTTGAATTCATATTCAGTTATGTTTATTGGCTTTATTATTGGAACATCTGACATAATAAAATAATATTAAAGTTATTTAGAAAATATTTTATATTTATTATTTTATATGAATAGAAGCTATTCGGATTATATCAATATAATAGATGAAGTAGAGAATATAGAACAAGTTGTTATAACTGATAATAGATGTAAAAAAATATGTTATTTTATTTTAGAATTAATTAAGTTTGTGATACAATATATCAAAAATAAAAATGTAAATATTATTATAAATGGGAAGAAAGAAAAAGAATAAGACTGAACCAGTTGTTTCTTCAACTGATGAAGACAAAGAAGAAGTTGTTAAAGAAACATCAGTTATTGAGTTTGCTTGTCCGATGTGTAAAAGAATATTAGAAATGAAAAATGAATTAGAAATTCAAAAGAAAGGAAATTGTAAATGTTCGTGTTTTCCCACAACTTTCAAAATTAGTAAAAATGATAAAAAAATGAATATTGATAAAACTAAAGACAGTATCAACTTAGAAACAGATGTTCATAATATTGCTATCAAATGGGGAAGACATGCATCGCCATCCGATAATGGGGATAAGGAAACTCAGGAAACTGTTAAACAAATGATGAAAAATTAGTGTTTAAAGAGTAGATTTAACATAATTTAAACATTTAGTTTTAAAAGTTTTATTTTATAATATAATATATATAGTTACATGGATGAAGGATTAGAAAAGATGGTTAAAAAACTGAACAAGGTTTTAGAACAGAATAAGAATATTTTAGAAATCTTGCAAGAAATGGAAAAGAAGAAACCTTTAACAAACAGTTATCAAAGTAAGGAAGTAGATCGAACCAATGGTGAATATAAAAATAAAAGAAATATTTATTTAAACAAACTTAATAACAAAGAAATTAAAGAACCGAAGGCTTCAACTATGACATTTTATCAAATTGACTATGATGAAGATACAGGGGTTTATTCTTGATTAAAAACATGTTTCTCTGAAAATCCGTTTAAAGACATATTGGCATAACTAATATTATGAGTTCTACAGATGATGAAGAAGAAACAGGATGCACAATGGTTTATCCTTGCAGTAAATGCGACGAAGCAAAGCCAAGAAAGGACTTTCACAAAATGTATGACAGAATTAAAATGGAAGAGATATTTTACAAAACATGTAAGGAATGCAGAGACAAAGTAAAAGCAACAAAAGAGTTAAGGAAGGAACAGAAGAAACGAATACAACCCCTGGAAATACATAGATTAAAGCCTTTGATACCATAGTTTTGCTATACTTACAACATGTAAGATCTTATATGTTGTAATTATAATTCGCTTGATTTAAAAGTTTCCCTGAAAATGTATTTAAAGAAATATTACCTTAATATAATAAGAGGAAAATGAACGATGATGAAATCAATAATTATATCAATAAAAAATGCTATGATTGTTGTCACTTCAAAAAAGAAAATATGGAATTGTATAAATTAAATTTACCTAATGAAATAGTGAATAATATTATTAATTATTCAATGGATGAAGAAGATTTATGTAAAATTTGTAGAAATTGGAGATATTATCAAGAATTAATCAGATGTCTGTTGGGAATAAAAAGAATTCGACATAGAAATGTAGAAGATGATATTTTAATATTTCTAACTGTAAATAAAATACCACCTTATGATTATGTTAAACAGTTTCTTAAAATTAGTATGAAAAAATATGGAATGATGGATGATATATTATGGTTGTTGTGTTATAGTCAAGATAAAGGAGAAGATGTTAAAGAAAATATCAAATTATTTATTGAAAGTAAAAAGTTTAATGTTCAGAATACAGTGAGAGATGTTAATATTATTTTTAAAATGATGTATGAAAGAAGAAAGATTTGTCAATTAAATTATTATCCTGTACTGAAATTATAATCATACTATAATAATAACATGTAAAATCTTATATGTTATAATTATAGTTTAATTTTCCCATATAAGCCGTGGGGGTGCTTTCCTACATAGGCCTTTCCCATCCGCATTTTGCCATCCATATTTTACTGGGATTGTTTTCAAGATTTGGGTTAACGGTTTTAATTCTCCCTTTTCCATTGGTTAACCATTTTTCGGGGGAGTGATAATTATTTGAAAATAGGGTTGTAGCCATCTAAAGGCAAGGTGTCCTACTAAAGTATGGAGAAAAAACTGTGTTCAAGATGTAGATACGAGAAAGGTGAAGATAGTTTCGTGTATGGACTCAAAAACTGTGATAAATGCACTGATCAAAAACGAGACTACAACAAACGAACTGTAGACAAGAGGAAAGAATACCGGAAACAGTATCTTGAAGCAAATCGCGAGGAAATTAATCAGAAGCGTAGAGAGAAAACAGCGAATAATGGATATTTGTATTGCCATGTTTGTGAAAGAAGAGTGAACCCAGAAATTTGGGACTTCCATTTGGTTGGAGGTTGTCACCAAGATAATATACTCAAACACTTGAAAGCAGATTATGAACGATTAGTTGAAGAAGCACCTACACAAGAATTCAAGGACAAATATTTTCAAGAAGGTCAAGAGAGGATACAAGAACTCAAAATGACAATGCCTTTGTATAATCCAGCTTTGAGAAGAAAGAAAGTTGATCAGGCTGATGGTGGTGAATTGGACTAAAAAATAAAGTTGATCATTAGAACATTATTTTTCTAATGATTAACTTAGAGGGTTGTTCAATTTGGTGGTTTTGAATGGTGCAATTTGATAGGTGTATGTAAAAAGTGCTCAAAAGTGTAGGGGGGGGGGTGGGAAAAAATGCCATCCGACGGACGGGAGAGGCCGGGTCTAACTCAAGGGACCTGTATCCTGGCTATCGCTCGTTGTACCCCAGAATCGGTGAGCTCACCTAGGTCCTCCAGTAGAGAGGTTAGAAAGAAGAAAAGGATACCAACTTTTTTGTGTAGTCTATTTTAGTAGGAAACCCCTCCCAAAAAAAAACGTAAAAGGGCACTACGGGGGGACCTAGTCGCTATGAAAGAGGCAGACGAATCCAGGGTTTCAACTCCAAATCCACCCACCAGCCCAAAGCACCAAGGGTCACCCGCAGAAATCCCAGCGTCGCTTCCAAGGAACATTTGCGCCGCCACCTTCGCCAAGGCCTTGGAGCATCGCCGCGCCTCCGACTGGCTGGCAGAGAGGCGCCTGCCAGCTGCGAGCTGCGAGCGCTGCCGGCCGGCAGAACTTCGTCGAACTTGCGGGTTGGTTGCTTCCATTGGCGTGTTTGCCCACCAGACAGGAAAAAAAAACATATGTATATCTATATATATATATATATATATTTGTGTGTGTAAACAATACCAGTACCTGGGGCCTTTGACGGTCACTTATTTGTGGATGTTTGCACCGGCAGGCGGTTTTGGGCCAAACGGGCGGTCTTGGGCCAAACGGGCAGTTTGGGCCTCCTGGCAGTTTTTGTCGCAATACCTGTTCAACTTCCTGCGGCAAAAACATAGCCGAAATACATGGCGTCAATAATTCTCGCCGATCTCTAGAAAATCAGCCACAAGCCAGCCTCAAACCAGCAGAAACACCGCAGCCGCAAGGGCAATGGCGGAACCGTGCTTTCAGCAACGCTGGGTGGATTAAGATACTCCTTCGCGCGCCTCTCTGAGAACAGTATGCCCCAGTATGCAATGAGGCTCAGCTTGCTACACAGGCTTGAAGGAACATTTTAAATGTCTTCTTCACGGGCAGACAATAAGAAGGGATATGCCTGTCGAGCTTTGCAGGAGCCCTCAGCCGCATGTCGGTGTGCGAGTGTTTCACACACGTCTCCCCAATGATGTTTTACCATGGGAAAACTGAATCGGGGACTTCCCGTGGAGACTTTGCGTCTCAGCCGCAACATTCTGCCAACAACCTCTTCGCCAAAAGCACGTCGTGCAAAATTTCCGCCGCACATCGAGGGTGGGGAAAAAGTGTCAAAAAGCGGTATTTAGGAGGAGCTTGGGCAAAAGCTGCAAATCTGCAAATTGGTTTGGAGCAAGTTGGCAGCACTTCTTTTGCGCAAAATTTGAAGAATGCGTCGCATGAGCAGCAGCGAGATGTGTCCAGCATCGAAAGTCTCACCTCTCTTGCCAGGGAACTCCCAACATCTCCTAACACAAGCTGTGAACTTGCCCACATCAGCTGCTGCAACGCGCGGGTTGGTTTGTCCTTCAAACGAACTGGCATGCGTTGTATGGTGGCTGGGTTGTATCCTGGCGGGAACCCTTAAATCAGGGCGGGGTGCGAAATGCTTCAAGTTGGTAAGGTCTGACAGCCCAAGCGCAAAGAACAACAGTTTGCCGCAAAAACAGAACGAGAAGAAATGCAAACAGCCAAAAGGCGAAAAGCGTCGTTCTCCAATTTCGGCGGAAATGTCTGTCAATCCGAAGCCCTATATTCTATATAGGTATTTGTATACATATTAATCTATGTAATATCAAACAAGTTTGAGTTGTGAGAAGGTTGGGCCAGGCTAAGTGGGATTCCGAGGTTGGTAAGCCTTGAAAGCTCGCGGTTTTATTCTGGCCGGTGCGATCTCGGCCCGTTTGCATGGGGAACTGCAGTTGCAAGATTGGGAAAGCGCCAAATTTCGCGCGAAACATTGTGTTGGGAAAGGGCTTGGTGGCTGCATAAGCAGATTTGTTTTTTTTGAAACAGGCAGTTCCGGGTGGCCAACAGGCAGTTCCGGGTGGCCAACAGGCAGTTCCGGGCGGCCAGCAGGAGAATCACACGGCCGCCCGAGAAAATCGCGAATTTAAGGGTTTGTGTTCGTGTGTTTTTGCATTTCGAGCGTTTTTGCCTGTGCAGTTTCGTGCGTTTTGTGTGTTTCGTGTGTTTCGCGGCCGGGTTTTATTGCGTGTTTTTTGTTCCGCTTGTTTCACTACAATACCCTGCATTTCGTGCGTTTCATTTCCTGAGCGTTTCGTGCTTTTGTTCGCACATTTCGCGCGTTTCGTTTCCTATAGGACATTACATCCGCTGTTCGTGCGTTTCGTGCGCTTTTCCGGCGCTTTTCGTGCGATTCGCCCGTTTCGCCCGTTTCGTGCGTTTTGTTTCCTGGGCATTTCGGGCGGTTTTCAGCATTTCGTGCGTTTTGTGTGTGCTTTGTTCGTGTGTTCCGTGCCTTCAAATTTTGTTTCCAAAAGGGCCATTTCGTGAGCTGTTCACGCGTTTCGTGCGTTTGTTCGTTTTCTGCGCCTTTTGTGCACTTTTCTTCCTGCTTTTTGTGCTTTTTCAAGGTGAATCTTGTGCTTGCTGCGCCATCACCAACAGCATCCTCAGCATCACCAGCAAGTATTCCCACAAACTTTCCTGACTCCACGCAGTGCGTGTTACGCATTTCATTTTTTTCGCACGTTTTGTGGGGTTCCTGATGTATTGCACTTCGTTCATTTGGCGCGGCTCCTGCGTTTTCATGCGTATTTTGCATTCAAAGGGGCTTCACAGGGGTTTGCGTGCTTGTGTGATTCGCACGGTTCATGCGTTTAACGCTTCGCGATCATTTCATGCGTTTCGCGTACTTCTTGCGCATGCATTTGCATTTCGTGCGCCTCATGGGTTTTGTGGGTTTGGCGCGTTTTTGTGGGCTTCGTGGCAAGGACGTGTTTGCGCGTGTCGGTCATTTCGTGTGTTTCGTGCGCTTCGGAATATTTTGTGCTGTGCATCCGACGTCGTGCGTTTCGTTGGTTTCGGGATTCGTGGGTCTTTTATGCACTTGCTTGATTCGTACGTTTCGTGAGGCTCCGGCGCCCCCGTGTCCACTTCGTGCATTTTGGTGCGTTTCATGGGTTTTCTAGGTTTGTGGGTTCATGGTCTTTCGTGCATTTCGTGCTCTTCGTGAAATTCCAGTGTCTTCATGCGTTTCGTGAGTTTCATGGGCTTCGTGGGTTTCGTGTCATTTCGTGTGTTGCGTGTGTGTTGCACACGCAGCGAACATAGGAGCACGAGGACAGACGGCTCCGGAAGAAAAGGGCGTTTCTGGAAGAAAAGGGCGTTTCCACCCAAACTTGCAAGAACGACCGTTAAAGAATGGGTGTCGAGGGCTCCAGGTAGTGATAGATATTTAAAGCCAAGAAGGGGAAGAACAACACATTCTGAAACCCAAATGGAAGGCTGGTGCACCCTGGCTTCAGGGATTACACACCAAGGAGCTGAAGTATCTAAGCTAGTGGCCGGGCATGCTGGCTTCGTTTGGGGCTTCTTCCCCGTTCTTCATGTCTAGAAACTTACTTGCCCAAAGGACCTGGAAGTAAAGGTTGCCCTTTTGGGACCTTTACTAAAAATGTACCAAAAAGGGGAAACCACAAGTTGTCAAAAGGTCAGTTTTGGGCAACTGAGGAAAGGATTCCATTGATTGAAGCAGGATCTTCCCACCTGTCCCACAAAAGATCTTGAGCAATGGGGTTCAAAAGCATCAATACCTCTTGGTTTAACTGATAGTACGGTAGCAACCCTGAAGCCAGTAAGCCCAAGATACCTGAGCCCTCACGAGGCAAGAAGCCGTGCTGCCAAGGCTTTTCGAATCACGCCGGGTTGAGGGCTCCAACTTGGCTCTTGTGCGGATAAAGGACGGCAAGGGAGCCCTGGAATCATCAAACAAAAGGTTAATTCGCAGGGGCGTGGGTGAAAAATAGGTACCCCAAACGGATCGCTGGTAAATGGAAACATGGACTAAAGCCTGCGGTTTAATTAATTTTGACCCATCCCCACATTGTTAAAGCCCATGGGTGGCAGCATGTTCACCCCTGGGCCCAGGTAGGACAGCCTAAGGTCCTCTCCCTGCCTGCTGCGGCTGGCACGGCTTGAGCTCGCCTTGCGGCGCTCATGTGCTGGACCGTCCGGCTTCTCCTTCTCCGCCCTTTCAGCTTGAGGTGTCTTCCTGGGTCACGGATGGTCAAGGTCATTCCGAGAGATCAAAGACCAATCATTGCTGAGGACTGGGATGTGTGCCTGAATGGCCAGAAGTCAGAAGCAAAGACATGCAAACACACCCAAAGAAACTCAACACCGTGCCAAGTACCCCCCAGTTGCCATGAGCTTGCCAGCCGGCAGGCAAAAATCTTCTAGCAACAAGCACCGCAAGGGACTTCCAACAATGCAAGGCATGATTCAGCGCCGCTGGAATGACGAATCCATCCGGAACAAGTCCTTGCATTGCATGCAATGTTCTGCAATGAAGCCCCATGGGTTGAAAAGTGGTATTCTTCAACTCCCTGCGAAGAACCTCTCTGAAAGCTCTGGTGAGGAAAGGCTTAAAGGATGTTGGGTCAGGGTAAGCTCCACCACAGGGGCGAACTTCGGAAAGCTCAATGGCTCAGGCAAAACCAGGGAGCTAGGGATGTCCATGGGATGTCCCTCATTCTTTTCCGGAGTTGGCTTCTCAAATACGGTCTGGCCTCACTTCCTGAGTGGATTGCTCAGAAAAGTAAGCAAACTGTTTGTGTCACCCCCAAAAATGGCAACACCCCAAGAAAGTGAGACTAAAGTTCGAAACGGAGCCAGTTGAGCGGCAACCACACGCAACAAATCGGTTGGCATCCAGGTCTTTTGTCCGGTACCGACCGAGATCCGAGCGGCTCCATGAGACTGGAGAGGGCCGGCAGCTCTTCCATCACTGAAGCGAGGCTGGGCTCCTCGAGTCCAGGGCCGTGCAGCTCAAAAAAATGCTTGGTATGGGCGCAAGAAGCTGACAGTTTCTGGCAGCCGCCCCAGTAAAAATGAACAAAACCCAAGAAAAAAACACATCAACTTGCCCTCAACAGTGAAGGCAACATGGGACTGCTGTGTCTTGTCGCAGAAAAGTGAAGATCATCTTCGGGCGGAAGCGCTGCGGAATGAAAGTGAGTGCTGAAAAAAAAAGCGCGAGCGTGGGCGCAAGCCAGGCCAGGAAAACAGGATTAATGGTGACTGCCATGAGCAGAACTTGGCTGCTCCCGCAACCTCTCTGCCTCAAGTGTGTCCTAGGTTTGCAGACGACAGCTGACAAGGCGAAGTGACCCCCCTCCCCCAACCTCCGGCAAGAACAGCTCAGAGCAAACAGGCCGAAAATAAATACTTTAAAAACCAACAACCAGCAGGTTTTGGCACGCCCCGACCTGTTTGCTTGCACGACCAATGAAGCAGCATGCCAGCCCCAGCCTTCACTTGCAGGGTTGTCTGAGGTTATTGCTCACTTCACCTCCAAAGTGACCCTACCTGTGCATCTCATGAATCTCATGCGTGCAGATCCTATTCAGCTTCCCAATTGGCGGTTTGGATTGGTTTGGGATTCGAACCCCTGGTTCTTGTAGAGGGTAGATGGGAAGCCCCTCCTTCGCCACCCAACCTGAAAAGGTGAAGCCTGGGGTCAGAACAACCAACACCAACAACAAGTCCCAAAAACACCCTTGCCCCGCCGGATCCGGGCGTTTTCTCGTGGATTTTTCTTCCCCGCCGGATCCCTTGGCGCCTTCCGCGGCGACGCCTGCTCCGGGGTCTCCGGGGAGGGCCAGCGTCGCAAGGCCTCCGTGAGGCCGCTGGCGCGGAGCACGTTGAAGGTCTCTCGCCTGAGATCGATCGCTCCCTCGGGACACGACGCCGGGGACCAGTCCAGTTTGCTTCTTGTTTTTTTTTCTTTCTTCTTCTTGTCTTTTTTGTTTTGTTTCCCCTCCCCCCGCGGACGACGTGCATGCGTCTGCAAGAAAGAGGTCGCTGGGCTGAACTTGGATCAGACCAATAGTGATACTGTTGCCAACAGGGCTGCGAGAAATGGATTAAGCTTCGAGTGACTGGCACGTGCTTCGGGCATTCATCCCCACATCTTCCTTGAAACGGGAATCACTTGACAACCAAGCATCCAAACTACAATCCCAAAGCATCAATCCATGAACCGAGATCACAGATTCAGCTTGATGTCAAAACGAGGATTTCGGATTTCGGAATTGGCCGGTTCAGATGGCCATGTCAACATTGGCACAAATCACTTCAACACAGAAGTCATGTCTAGTGCTCAATTACTCCCGACGGACCTGGAAATAAAATTGCTTGAACCTTTTGGGGTCATGACTCAGACCGAAATGGAAAACCCCTGGTCAAAAGGTCGGCTTTTACGGCTTTGGGGCCATGGCTGAAAGAGGACCAACATGGAAAACCAAACGCTTGGAAGATGTTTGAAGGTTGGCTCTGGAGTGAGGATAGTGATTCATCCATAAAAGCAGCGCCCTGATGTTTTTTTCTGCTTATTTCAAAGAAACATATATTGGGTTTAAAAAACGTGTCTCAATAGTTAGTGTTCTTTAGCTCGTCCGCAAGCCAAGTTGCCGCAGCTGGCCCTGCCGCATGAGGATCGCTTGCTCGCTCTGCGCTTGCTGCTCGGCAGCGCTGGTTTTCGCCTCCTGGAGAGCTTCGAGAAAATCCGTTTACAAACCCTTGGTATGGTGTCATGTGGGATTTGCAACCCCCTACTCAAAATGAGCAGAACTAAAACACACACACAACAACAAAAAGACTAAGCTAATGCCAACAACTAAGAAGATCTGCACCTTTTCAACACCACACCAAAGCCATTCACCGGAAGTTCAAGGCGTCCACACACAACCAAATGGGACCCATCAGGGAGCGATGCGCAGGTCTTTGCCAGTGCCAGGTGCAGCAATGAAGTACGCCATCTAACTTGAACTGATGCTTGTGCAGCTGCGATTGATCTGTCCTGCAAGGCTCTCCTGAGCGCAACGCGGTACAAGCGGACTTTGGATCAGAGGATGGGTTTTCCGAGACCGATGGGATGTGAAGCCCTGTCGCCACAAGGCGGCCGAGAGACGGGCGCCTTGTGTCGTAGGAGGGCAAGAGCGTAGACCATGTGGGCAACTATGATCTGGGTGTCATGAGCGTATCCCTGCCATTGACAGTTTTGTATTCATGTCACACCCCTGCCGTCAAGACTGTCAAAGCGTCATAATCTTTCAGGGGGTTGGACCTGACGGGGGTGCCCCATATGAGCTTATAAAACCTTGATTTGTCGAACAAACTGTAGAATGAACATGTAAGAACCTTGCTGCATCTGGCTAGCTGATTCTTTGAGATCTGGAATGGCAGCCCTTCAAACTTTAAAGTAAGCTGTATTGGCATCTACCACGTAGCATTGATTAGCATCGCATACTTGCAGAGTTGTCGCTAACAGCTGTTGTACTTCAATCTGGATAATTACTGAGACCCAAACATGGGCTAGGTGTTTGGTTGCACCATGTGCGTTTAGAGAAGGCAGCCAGCGAAAGGAAGAGCTCAGTCTTCAGAACATTCACCTAGCCAGTTCAAAATAGGGAAGCATCCATTTTCAAGTCCGTGAGGAATCGGATGATTACAGCAAAGGTTGATTTGAACAACCCTGAAGCTCCAAAGCACCTTATTGAAGCAAAACAAGCTTCTTCCTGGTTAACCCAGTTCACACAGATCGTTGCAATCAGCCAAGCTTCAGCTGCTGAGCTAAGGAGTCTTCTCCTTTGTCTTCGAATCGCGGACTGGAGCAGCCTTCGGCCACGTTTTGTGGGGCTCGTGCCAGCACCGGGATGGTTGGGCGAGCGACAGGCTCCACCACAGAGATGCCTGCAGGTGCCGGGCTATGTTGCTCAACAGATACGCCATGCGTCCTTGACTTGGATAGTGCTTTCCAATCTGGCCAAGCTGAGTGCCAGGAAACACGCACACGTCCAAATCATGCATTATGCAATATAGTGCAACCACACGTATGTGTGCGGGCTTTGGAGTTGGTGAAGCAAACGGGAAAACAACAACTGCAACATGCATCTATCCCGCTTTGGGCAAATCAGGATGCAACAGCCTTGCGCAGCTTCAGGTGGTGGAGGAACTGGATCCTGAGGTGGCAATGGTGGGCAAGGCCGTCCTTGGAAGAACGGCCAGGGACAAAAGCTGCATTCAACTAATGTTCCGAAGCAGTTGGCAAAAGGGCTGCAAACACCTTCTCCTTGCCATAGGGAAAGCGGTCTGATGCATGTGATTTGCCAAGAGCACTCACTAAAGTCACTGGAGCAAGTGCTGGCACAATGCTGCTTCAAAGCAAGCCCGCATGAGCTCCAAACCACCTTCAAAAACTGCATCCCACTCGCATTGGGACCAAGATGCGGACAGCCTCTGCCGGAGGTGGCATTGGAACCGGATCCCGATGACTCGGCAAAGGTGGGCTGCGAGCACCAGGGGCAGGGCTCAAGGCCCGTCCTCAAACTGCCCAAGCAAACGGCTAAAAAATGCGAGGCGGCCCCCAAAAGTTGTGATGTCAAAAAGCCTCACAACGATTGCTCACCCCTCAGAACACAGCAATCCATACGACCTAAACGGGAGCCAAGTTGCCAACTGGTTCTGCAGGGTACTGAACCTGACAGGCACCGCCGTGACTTGGCCAAGGTGGGCTGGCAGCACAAGGTGCAGTGTTCGGAGGCTGTCCTTGGAAGAACGGCCAGGGCCAAAAGCTGCATGCAACTAATGTTCCGAAGCAGTTGGCAAAAGGGGTGCAAACACCTTCTCCTTTCCATTTGGAACGCAGACTAATGCATGTGATTTGCCAAGAGCACTCACTAAAGTCACTGGAGCAAGTGATGGCACAAATCTGCTTCAAGGCAAGCCCGCATGAGCTCCAAACCTCATTCAAAAAAGGCACCCCACCCACATTGGGACCAAGATGCGGACAGCCTCTGCCGGAGGTGGCATTGGAACTAGATCCCGATGACTCGGCAAAGGTGGGCTGCGAGCACCAGGGGCAGGGCTCAAGGCGCGTCCTCAAACTGCCCAAACAAACGGTAAAAAATGCGAAGCGGCCCCCAAAAGTTGTGATGCCAAAAAGCCTCGCAACGATTGCTCGCCCCTCAGAACACAGCAATCCATACGACCTAAACGGGAGCCAAGTTGCCGACAGGTTCTGCAGGGTACAGAAGCTGACCCGGACCGAAACTTGGCCAAGGTGGGCTGGCAGCACAAGGTGCAGTGCTTAGAGACTGTCCTTGGAAGAATGGCCAGGGCCTATTTAAAGCTGCATGCAACAAACGTCCCGAGTTCCTTTTCATAGGCAACATGGTGTGATTCCATGCGGATTGGCAAGAGCATCACTAAAGCAAGTGCTGGCACAATGCTGCTTCAAAGCAAGCCCGCATGAGCTCCAAACCACCTTCAAAAACTGCATCCCACTCGCATTGGGACCAAGATGCGGACAGCCTCTGCCGGAGGTGGCATTGGAACTGGATCCCGATGACTCGGCAAAGGTGGGCTGCGAGCACCAGGGGCAGGGCTCAAGGCCCGTCCTCAAACTGCCCAAGCAAACGGCTCAAAAATGCGAGGCGGCCCCCAAAAGTTGTGATGTCAAAAAGCCTCACAACGATTGCTCACCCCTCAGAACACAGCAATCCATACGACCTAAACGGGAGCCAAGTTGCCAACTGGTTCTGCAGGGTACTGAACCTGACAGGCACCGCCGTGACTTGGCCAAGGTGGGCTGGCAGCACAAGGTGCAGTGTTCGGAGGCTGTCCTTGGAAGAACGGCCAGGGCCAAAAGCTGCATGCAACTAATGTTCCGAAGCAGTTGGCAAAAGGGGTGCAAACACCGCCCAAAGAACCTTTGCCAAGAGCATGCGCTAAAGTCACTAAAGTAAGTGATGGCACAAATCTGCTTCAAAGCAAGCCCGCATGAGCTCCAAACCACTTTCAAAAACTGCATCCCACTCACATGGGAACCAAGATGCGGACAGCCTCTGCCGGAGGTGGTATTGGAACCGGATCCCGATGACTCGGAAAAGGTGGGCTGCGAGCACCAGGGGCAGGGCTCAAGGCCCGTCCTCAAACTGCCCAAGCAAACGGCTAAAAAATGCGAGGCGGCCCCCAAAAGTTGTGATGTCAAAAAGCCTCACAACGATTGCTCGCCCCTCAGAACACAGCAATCCATACGACCTAAACGGGAGCCAAGTTGCCGACAGGTTCTGAAGGGTACCCCAAATCGGCCTCACGTGGCCAAGGCGATCTTGCCGAGATGCGATCAGGACTTAGAGGCCGTCCTGAGGGACCATGCGACCAACACATGCAGTCACTGCAACCCCTGTTTGCATGTTACATACTACTATAATAGTCTAAAAGCAGCTGGCACCTGACAAGTCAAGGCGCTTGATGTATCTATACAGGGTGCAGTTGCTCGCAGGCTCGCGGGTGGTGAAGTTGGTGCCAGGATGGGGCCTAGCGCCTGGCCTGGAAAGTGAATCGGGAGTGACCCAGAGTGGGCCAGCTTTCGGTGTGTCTGTGGTGGGGACACCGCGGTCATTGGCGGCATCTCCAGGAAAATGGGGCCTGGTAGGAGAGGCCGCGGCGCAGGCACAAGCCGAGGAGAGGGCGGGGCTGCTGAGCTGTCTAAGTCTCGTGGCAAGCGCAGCTCGCGCCTTGGGAGTTGGGGAGTAGACTGCGCTGACAGCAGCCGGCTCTGAGGGGAGGGTCGCAGGCTTCGGTAGCTGAGGGCCGGGGAGGGTTGCGGCGAGACTGGCCATGCCCCGAACTGGGGCGAGACTTCGGGATCCCTCAAAGCCCCCAGCAAGTTCGGGGGTGCGAAGGAGAGCACCGGAACCTCCAGCCGCGGGGGGCTCAGAAAGGGACGCGTTAAATGCTCCATGGCACGGAAATGTCCCTGGAGAGCTTCAAACACCATCAAACACCCTACCCGACCTTGTGGCTTTGTGACTACGTAGAAGCTGCGTGCTAGGCAAGCAATCCCCACCCCAGCCACCTTCTGAAGCTCATGAACATGAGCAGCCGATCACTGGGAAAGAAGTATTGCCTGGTTTCTGCCTTGCGATGGGGTCTTCTCCAGAACGACGAATACTGCAGCATGTTGTATCCATGGCCCGTTCCACTTCTCGGGGTGCTGGTCGCGACGCCTTTTCATTCTGGGCCCAGCGGGAGCCCTTGAGCCAGTCATACAGCACATGCTCCATATTCGGCTCAGCCAAAGAAGGCCGGGGAGGAATTTTAAGGCTTTGGAACGCTGAGTTCTAGTCAGGATCTTTAACAAACCACCGCAAAGAAGCCACATGCAATGCGATACCCCGCCAACAGCTCAGATTGGCCGTGGTCAAACTATGTCGAACTGTTGGAAATCCGTAGATTGGCCGTCATACCAATCAAGCCCCAAGCTAGCGGGTCCCTTGACCATGGCAAAAGAAACACTGCAAGAAGTATCCAAAGAACTTTCTACTGGTAATCTCTCAAAGGCTGCCCTTGTCCGTAGGTTCCATCAATCCAGCGATCGAACGCTCAGGCAGTGCAGCACCGCGACACAATCATATAAGGGGCACAAAACCATGCAAGTAGAAAAGCGCTTCCCCGCTCTGGGTGAAGTGTGGAATAGTGGGGCACCTAACACATGCGTGGCCCAAGCAAAGAAAAACGTGACAAGCTGTGACCTGCTGCCTTTCAGTCCGACGATCATTGGCGCATGCAAGTCCATTCATACGCGTCGGCTTGCCTTAGAGCCGGATTCATTGATACGTTGCCCGAGCAACATGCGAGCAAGCGACATGCAGCTGAGAACAAAGAAAACACTCCAAGGCCATTTACACAATATATCTGCACGCAATAATTGGGTCTAAAAACATCAACACATATCAAAAAGCAGTGCTCCGCATGCAATTGCGCGCAGTGCTTCGCCCAACCAAATTCATCCGGTTGATGCCCGCTCGCCCGACATGTACGGACTCGCAAGCTCGCTATTGGTCCTCTTGGCCAGCATCTGACATTTCAAAACCGATCCACCTCAAACTTCCAGACCCCTGTCTGACAGTCGTAGTCGATGAACTTGCAAGCGCTATTCTCCTCGGTTGGTTTCTGCTCCCCTGCTAACAGTTTAACTTGTAGTGGTTTTAATGGAATACCACTTAATTAGCAAAAAGCTAAAGTCCTAACATCCAAGCAAAATGCACCAAAGTCTCCTCCGTCATCCTGCGGATTTTGTCCTTGTACTCCTGGACTGCATCATCACTCAAGGTCTTCACCGGCTCACCCGGGGGAAAGCATTGAAACATGGTCACCGTGGCATGTTTGTTCAGGCCCTGCCCCACCGCGGGCTTCTTCTTGGTGTCCGGGTACACCAAGACGTAGCCCCTCTTCAAGACCACGTCTTTTTCCACGTCCAGGTCCGTACAGTCCGTGATCCCGTGGAAGGTCACAGAGCCCACGCCAGGCTTGGTGATGGTGAGATTGGGCACTGCCTGGAGCTGGGACGGACTGAGCTTGGACAACTCGGGCTCCACCAACAGCCCGGTCTCCCGCCTTCTGGGCATCTCCCTCTCCTGCGCATAGGATGGCTGGGACGACATCTGAGACGACACCCGCTTCACCGCAGCTGGGTAGTCTGGCCCAGACTCAGGCTCGTCCTCATCCAGCAATGGCTCTGTTCGAGCCAGGAACACAGTGATGCACTCGCACCACCTGGCCAGAGACACGGCGGGCTTGTACAACTTGGCCACCGCCTCCTCAGTCGCTCGCAACAAAGCAGTGGCAGTTGCAAGATTGGAAAGGCAAGGCCACCCTCAATATCATGAAGCAAGCGCCCCCGCAATATCCAACGGCACTGACATTCTGTCCACAAGGCATATGGGAAGGGCACACCTCCGGGGATGCACATGGTTTTGTTAATGTCACTTCTGTCAGCATTGCTTCCTCTGTCCAACGTCAGGCATGCCAAAACACAGCCACTATTTTGCCTGTTTCTCCCAAGTAGACAAACATGTTCAATAGCGGATTCTCAACTGACCCAAGATTCTGGCTTTGTCTCGGCAGTAAGCAGGGCTGCCACCTTGTTCCGCTGCTGCAGGGTCATGGTGCCGGGGTTGTAGCTCTCAAGCCTGGCCGGCAGCGAGTCTGCCAGGAGCTTCTTCGAACTTCCACCATCCAGGAGCAAGGACACGGCATCCAGGATCCGCGATACCTGCGACGACGCGAGGTATCCCAGTTTGAGTGCAAGGATCCACCGAAACTCGCGCAAAAAGCAGCAGATACTTCATGGAATGCTTCAGAAGCATGTGTTTCGAATTGAGAATGTCCCCGAATGCGATTGCCCGAGGAGCTAGAAGCAGCTTTACATTGGCTGGGATATTTTTGTCAAGCGGCAAATGCTGGACGCTTGCTGGGTAGCGTCTCTGCATCAGATAGACGAGCGTACACGCACGACCGATTCTGTACGAATTGTCGATGCTAGGTACATGTCGGGAAGAGCACTATTGATGGAACTGCGGCATGCGGCTAAAATGCAGAATGCTAAATCATGCTGAGCCAACCCCCCAAGTCAAGTGTCAGTACCCCCACCCCCCAACGACAACAAAACGCGAATACCAAGTCACCAATGGGACTCTCGGCTGGACTTAACATGCATTTTGTTGTCGACTCTGACATTTTAGAAAATGAGAACAGGCTCACATCACCGAATGGCTACTTCCTGTTGCTTTCTGTGGCCGCCAGTAGCTACCAGGCCGATGTCGCCAGGGTGTTTGTGGTTACTTCTAAGAAGGGGTTGGGGGGATCTATATAAATATGGGGATTTGGGGGGGTGGATTTGGGGGACCCATTCCAAAACAAAAATGATTCTTGTAGCCCTTGGCCTCGGCCTCGTTGCCAAAAGGGCTTGGCTTTCGGAAGTTCAGCTCAGTTTTTCTTTGGGTGTTCGGCCAAGTAACTTGTTGGCCTAGGTTATGGCGCACCAAGATGCACTAAGTCCCAAGTGCATTTTGTTTAACCTGAATATTCTGGTTAAGTGCGAGCATCCAAGCTCATCTTAGCCTCACAGCCCGTGAGCGACCGAACAAAATCAACTCCTCCGCCTGCGGCAAGGCCTTCTTCAGCATCCGCATCTCCCGCACCTCCTTGGTGGAGATCTCCTGGCGAACTCTTCCAGCCATAGGCGTCCTTTTAGGGGAAATAGATGGCCCTGGTAGATGATTAAACCACCAGGTAAACCAGGGCCATCTATTTTTCTACCAAAACAACCAAAAAGTACACCTATGCTTCCAGCGCTGGCCGGAACACACCTCAATGCCTGGCGTGAAGCCTGGCAGGGAATCCCAGAACTTGACCAAACCAAGCAGTTCTGCGACTTTGCTTTGCTTCTGCCAGGTTGGCGGTTGGCTCACCATGCGTCCTACTTGCAACTTGCCCCGAAAAGGCGCTCTCCTTGGCGCAGGCGATCAAGGCCTCTCTGCAGCGCTGGCTCTCGTCCTGGCGGGGATTCACCGAGCCACAGAAAGCAGCGCTGCACAGCAGAACGCGACCAACCAACCAACACACACATGCACACACGCACGCACGCACGTAATAATATGCATATATATATATATGTTCACCCCACACGACAAGAAAACACACCACTACAAACAAGCACATAAATAAATTATTGTTGCAAGGGCATCCTCTCGGCTGCAGCCCTACACGCTGACCTACTCTGTGCATGTCATGTCTCAGCGCGGGTGAATGTTGGCGCAGCTAGCAAACATGGGATGCAACATGTGGCCACTAAAACCCGGCAAATCCGAGCATCGCATGTTGTGTGTGTGGCGATACCTTCATCGGTTTATGGCCGTGCCCCAGCGATCGACGCACAAATATGACCAAGATCGTTCAGCGAGTGCCTTCTAACATGAGCCCAGAAAAGATGACCTGTCCCGAGCTTGTCGGAAAGCATGCTTAAACGAAACTGAAGGAAATACTACACACCGATGGACCTTGCTTGTGAAATCCGTTGCTTGCGTTTGCAGGAGCCCAAGATTCCTTGGGCCCAGGGCGGAGAAATAACAAACCACAAAAAACAACCCAGCCCACGCGGCCGCAACCAGCCGGTCATGAGTGATGTAGACCCTGTCTGGGATTTATGCGTGTTAAATGCGCGAACCCAACAAACATGAACTCTCAAAAAACAAAACACCCATCACTCTCTTGACGTTGCATTACCATGAAGTATATCTTGTTTCAAAGGCGATTGAAGCAAAATCATAAAATCACCAGAGCTATTTCCAAGCTGTAAGCACGACGTCGGCTTGGAAGCCTGACGGGTGAGCCCGTCCCCCCAAACCGGAGCCTGCACCTCTGGCAAGGAGAGGCGTCGGGCGCGAGATGCGAGCTGGCTGCTGCGGTTCCGGCTGCCCATTGACGAATAGGTCTGGCAGGGCCATCGTCAACGAGAAAAACCAACAGCTAGCACCCTCCAAAGTTGTCAACTGATACCCAAACTGTCTCACAGAAGGGCACTTCAGGAACACATGGACCACCCTTGGAGGGTGCCGGAGGGGTGTGTTTTCTTCAATTTGAGGGAATCAAAAACCAACTTGGTCGTTAAGTTGGTGAGCCGCGGAAAACCGCGCGCGCCTTGGTCACGCGCTCCTGCGCTCGCTCGCGCATGTGCTCCTGATAGTGTCGCTCTTCGGGGGTCTCTTCACGCTCCTGCAAGTATCGTGAAACGATCAACCACCCATGGAGCATGAAAGAAATCTGGTTAAAGCCGATTTTGCTCGACCCTGCTCCTCAGGGACTCGTTCTTCCGGGACCTGCTGTGGCGTTCGTTCCTCTGGCGCAAACGGCTCCTCCGGCACTTCGTCTTCCTCATGCAACGTCTCCTCGTCCTCCTCTGGTGGCTCGAAGACTGCCGGGTCCTGACACACAGCGCAGGCGAAGTGGAAAGCCAGGAGACCAACCCCATAAAACACAAAAAAAAAAACAGGCGTCAGGAAAGCAGGCAAACAGCAAAGCAGGGTGGAACTTAAAGAACTGCAAACTGAGCTAATTTGGCTGCACTTGCGGTCCCCCACCTGTGAGTAGTGTGATGCGTCCTCACGGCACTCACTTTCTGGCTCCGCAGCCAGCTCTGCAGGCATCTCCGCAGACTGCTCTGGGCTTTCTGGTGATGGCCACCTCTTGAGAGCTTCCGACCTCGCTGTGCCCAAAGCTCACCGCTGCAATCGAGGCTTTTGAGCCGTTGCTTCGAACAACAACGCACCGTTTGCTATGAAAACTGGGCTGTTCAAATTGAGGGTTGGCCAATCCTCATCCACAATGCCGGATCGACCCAGGGCAAGGATCAAGGACCTTTGAACAGCCCAGGAACATCGCCGACGTCAAACAGCTCAAGCCAACTGCCTTCTCCCTTCCGAGGCGCAGCGAGCCCCGTGGGGCCGGTTCTCTCGCCGTCGGCAAAGCAACCAGTGGCCCAGGCCCCAAAGGTGCGAGGACAGGTGGCCCGGGAGGTGCCGGGGATCCTTGGCACCTCAACTCCTGCGAGGCATCCCCACTGCCTTTATGCTGGCCAGCCAAACTTGCCTCAAGCCCCTAAGAACGGCTTGACTACTGCCATCTGAGCCCTTCTGTGGGCCCTGTGAACAGGGAAAATGACCAAAAACCAATGGCCAGCTTACCTTCAACCCAGCGAGGCCTTCTGCCTCGAGCTCCTAAGGATTGCTTGGCATCTGAGCGCATGGCATGCCCTCCCAGCACACAATGAGAATTGCGCACATGCTTCGATACGGGACCGGGAGATACAAAAACTGCGACAAGGTGGTTTAGGTGGTTAGGAGTCCGAACGGGACACTTGAATAATTACATCTTCAAGTCGACTAATAGACTGAGCCTGCCAACCCCGGGTGTCCTGCAAGGCCTTGAGGTGGTGCGCCAAGGAGTTGGGATTGCCTCAGGTATCTCGGCACGTGGCGAAGGAGCTCACGAGAACCCGAATTGCGAATGCACCTGGCTCGAAGGGACTAGAAACGTGCCTGACGCATCCCAACACAACATGCCAGGCAAAGGCATTGGTTGAAGCTCTCCAGTCTCTTGGCACAAACGCGCACTCCCCGAAAAAAGGTCACTGATCTGCATCAGCTCACAGAATGGGCCTGATAGGCGGTCGTGATAAACATGGCAACGGAAATTTCAATGTTACGCCGGCTTGACTTATGCATTGTGCGGCTTCAAGCTAGAAAGCAGCTCACCCTACCCTGAGAATGGGCGCAAGGTAGGCCTCAAATGGCAAAATGAAACAAATTATCGTGAGGCTACGGCTCAATCTTTGGAAGACTGGGGGATGGGCCTTCAGGCCATGTCACAATTCACAGACATGACAATACCAATTAACACAACCACCATAGCTTGTGGGACAATAGATGCCAACAAGTGCCGTCTCTGTTGAGCCAATCTAGCCTAAAAAGGGTACCTATGACCACCGCATTTACTTGCGATATCGAAAAGTCGCCAAAACTGTGACTCGTCATGCCAGGAAAATGTTCGACGAGCTGCTTGCTGCCAAATCTGGTCTTTGCTGAGTGAGATACCTCAGCCGCATTCAGCTCATGCATTGTCATGCGCTAGATTCTCTGTCCTGACATTGATGTTCCTCCGTTGAGGTTGGTGCTCCAGCCATCTCCAAAACAAAAGCACCTCCAGATTATCTCTATAGTCTTTCTGTCCTTCCTGTCGAGGTCTTCGAATGCTTTGCCACCAAAACGGCAAGGGGTTCCCAAGAGTCCTTGCTAACATCGAATAAAACCAAGAGTGGTACGAGCGGAATTACAAGCGCAGCTAAGGCATACAAGGAGCTCTGTCTGGGACCTTTACGTTTCTTCTGACGGAGGCGGAGTTTCATGTGTTTCACCGGATTTCGAACAGGACAACACGGCAGCTCAGGAACCTCATTGACACACATCCTGCTGTCACTTTCACTTTTTGAAGGTTTGGGGGTTTCAAGTGCGCGGCTTTTCCTGAAGCGCTGTCTTATTTCTGCGAGCTTGAGTTGAGACCTTTTTCCCAGCCGTGAGGAGTAACTAGTAGTTGGAGGTTGGAAATGGCAACACGTCGTGCCCAATGGGGAAACAAAGGTACCTCAAAAAGAAAGAGGTGCCCTCACTTTAACATCTCATAGGTAGTGTGCAAAAACGCACTTCAGCGGCAGTGCTGGCTTGCATGCCTCCACCACGCCTGCGTGGCTGTGGGGCAAGCTTCTTGAGCGATTGGAAGAGCAATCCATGCTCTTGGCTCAGCTTCCACCAGAATCGGGGCCTCAAAAGCGAGCGCCCATCTTGACCCCAGGTGATGCCGAGTTGCTGGGGCAAGGGTCCGGAGCCATTGGTCATGAAGGCCACGGGCTCCCGAATATCCCGCAAGTTGCCATGGGGGGAGGAGACCGGAGAAGCTGGAGACCTGCTCCTGTAGCACCGGCGTCGGCGACATCATCTACGACCAGCGCGGCAGCAACCGGAAGAACATCCGCACCAGCAACAGCAAGAACCGCATAGTACGTACGTCGACAGTAGTCATACCGTCATACTGAGTCATACCCACCAAAAGCGGCTGTGTTAGCGGCAGCAGCTGCAGCAAAAGGGATAGCAGGGCGAGACTGCAACACACTCTGACGAGAACGACGCGGCAACAAATGGCAACAGCAGTCATCAGCAGTGTCAATAGCCCCTTGCAGCGCGCTGAAGCCAAAGAGCTATCGGCTTCCAAATGACACCAGCCTTCCTGACCGTTGCTAGCTTTCCTGTTTCGCGGATGTAAAACCGAGAGGGCCCACAACCGATACAGCACCCCAGTAGTCTTGTCTGTTGCTTGTGAGAGCGGCCACACTGCATGGATTTGGTTTTCTCAACGCTATCTTAAAAGAAAAGATTGTTCCAGCTGATGCTGGCATTCAAAAACCGATGCGATCTTGCCCTAGCTTGACATTGTCTTCGGACACATCATCCCACAGTTCAAGCTGCATCGCAACATGTAACACATCATCAACTAAATCCCCAGAACGGGAGTTAACCCTTTTGAATAGATGGTTTTCCCTGAATGGAGCATACAACCAATTGAAACCAGTGACATCTATGTTTTATCCAACCCTATAAGAAAGGACACCCATGTGCATCCCTCTCTCACCGTTTACCTGCCTTCGGTTTTGGGAAGCCGTGTCCTGTAAAGCGGATCTGGCGTCTGGGCAAAGCCCATGGGCAGCATAGGCCGATGCCACGTCCTCAGATGGATGCGCCACCAACACCGTGGTTCTGTGCAAATGGGTGCGCGTGTGGGTGGGTGGGTGGGTGGGTGGGTGGGTGGGTGGGTGGGCGGGGTTGAGCTTGGAGTTGGGGTGGGGTTGGGGTTGCGGGTGGGTGGGGCGTTG